TCCTGTCTTGAATAGTTATACTTAGGTTCTATAGTTATCTGTGTATATATATATATATATATATATAATTCCCTCTAACATACTTTTAATTAACTCTTTTTAGTAATCTTTAATTCTTAGGTTCAAAACACTAACCTCCGAATCTTAATCGTAATCGACTAATATTATTACATCATAAATCCCTGTCCCGCCCATTGTAACCAATCAGAGCTCTTATTACAAAAATGTCACGCGGTCTTCCGTCGGGTATAAAAACCAATGTCTCTGGAAATCCTCCCTTTTCTTTCGCTCGTTTCTCTGTAGTTATGTAGCCGGCTGCTTTGTGTTGTGTGTTAGTTTCTTTGTCTGTTTTGTACCGTCCTGCCTTATGTTTATGTGTTTTCAAGATATTAAATAAATTGGATTAACTAAATTACAAGACTGCTTCTTCAATACTACAGTAATCATCCACTCGCCACGTACTACCGTAATAACTTCCAATGGCCACGCCCTACCTTTGGTTCGCTACATCTACAATTATTTTTACCACTCTCAAGAAATATTATAGAATCATTTCATATATATATATATGTTTGGCTGCGTAGTTGGGTAAGACACGAGAATGGTAGACTTTCGACCCTCGCCCCCTCCTTGTACCTTGTATGCCACTGCCTGTGCGTCATAGGCGTGTGGTGAGGTATGAAAAGGCTCCGCAAATATTTATTACAACTAAATAATAAATACGAAATACATGAACCTACCTGCAGAACTAAAAATAATAGAAAAAACTAATGACTTTTGAACCTACGGTTAAAACGCAAGATGCAAACATAATAATAATAGCCAAAAATAATAACATTGGATGATGCATTTATTATCAAACAATTCAAAGTACATCGAAAAATAAAACTTTTCTGTATATAATTTGTTTTGGTTGGTATAGTTAGTAGAAAGAAGACTTATTCTGCATACAGTCAGCCAATCTTGAATATTTCCGTATATAATTACTAACTGCTAAAATCTTCAGGCGGTCACCCCAAAATGTCTTGGCAGTCCACCAGTCGATCGCGATCGACGTAATGCCCACCCCGGCCATAGAGCAACGGTTCTTAAACTTTCGATCGTCTCGGTCTCCCCTTTATGTGTCAGCGTGGCATCGCGGACAGTCAAGATTTTGAACATCCCTCTCGACTTAATATTCTTGTACCAGTTCTAGTACAGTTTTTCTCATTGGGGACACTTTAGTCATCTAGTCCAGTATGATACATCTTTCAATTTTTCCACGAGGCCTTTCAAAGTCTGTAAAAGAGGGATTTCTTAACATTAAATCCCCCTCAAGGGGGCTCGCCTTCTTTAGGTGAGTACGGGTGTCACAATCCCGAGGTGCCCTAATGATCTTTTCCTTTTCCCAAGGGGTTTATTATCTTTGGTAAACACGGGTGTCACGAACCCGGGGTACCCTAGTGAACCTTCTCTATTTTCGACCCTCTTTTTGTCATGAAATTTCATGATTTCTTCTTTTCCCGTCTAGACCACAAACTACTAGTTCAAGAAGAACAGAGTTTTTAACTGTTCTTATTGTCTCTCTTGGCGCATTATGATCTAAATTGGTCCTTGCGCCATAAGAAAAAGAAAAAAATCAAATCAAATCAAATCTTAACATTAAATGAGAGATTTTCACGGATCCCATAGAAAAGCACTGGAGACCCCTGGACCTGGGTGCCTGGAACACAATTTAAAAACCACTGCTATACAGTACACAGTGAAAATCGCTTAACACGAAACTGAAGGGAAGGAAATATGTTTCCGTGTTAAAGCATATTGCAAAAAGATAAAAAGAAAAAACATTTATCGAGAAAAATAAGTTTATTTTTACATATATTTAATAAAAATCAATGACACAAAAACATTCGTAACAGCTTATGGTGACATGGTATGATTTACGCAAAAATTTTAATTTAAGGATTCTCAAATTTGTTTTGGTTGCCTCCTATGTGTGTATACTATATAAAAAAAATTGTGCTCACAAAATTTCATAAAAAGATAGTCATTTAATTTTTTAAGGAAAAAACTTAAAATTTGTGAAGTAATTTTAAATTGCTACTGCTCCTACAAAAGTTTGCGAACTCGCATAAAATTTGATTTAAAAGTACATTAAACTATGTATAACAAAAGTTGGTATGGATTTTGCGATGACATGATTGGTATTTGCCCAATACTTCTTTTTATGAGTGTTTTTGTTGAAAATTCTTTAAAAAATATATAAATTCTAAATTCAATCATTTTTTAAAAAATAAGTATTGTTTTGATTCAAAAATCTATAGCAACTTTTGTTACATATATTATTAGCAATAGGTAAAAAAAAATTCAAAGTATTAGACACAAGAGAAAAAAAGCCTTAGCATTTTAAATGGAGACACTAATAACTAAATTAAAACTAATTATTTTATCTTTCTGAGAAAAGTAGGTTAAAAATTTTGATTTGCCATAGGGATGTGAATAAAAACGAACGTAAAAGCTA